AGGAGAAGAAGAAGGAGAAGAAGAAGAAGGAGAAGAAGAAGGAGAAGGAGAAGGAGAAGAAGAAGAAGGAGAAGAAGAAGGAGAAGAAGAAGAAGAAGAAGAAGAAGAAAGATTGGCTTTAGACCCCGCCCTTCACTACCCAAGGGAGTCCCAGAGCGGCTTACAAACTCCTTTCCCTTCCCCTCCCCACAACAGACACCCTGTAGAAGAAGAAGAGATTGGATTTCTACCCTGCCCTTCACTACCGAAAGGTGTCTCAGAGCGGCCAACAATCTCCTTTCCCTTCCCCTCCCCACAACAGACACCCCCTGTGAGGCAGGTGGGGCTGATCGAGCTCTGACAGAAACTGCTCTTTTTTCAAGAACAGCTCTTATCAGAACCACGGCTTGCCCAAGGTCAGCCAGCCAGGCGCGAGTGGAGGAGGAGTGGGGAATCAAACCCGGTTCTCCCAGATCAGAGTCCGCGCACTTAACCACGACACCAAACCACTACACCAAACTACATAGAGAAATGGAGCACACTTTCCAATTTTTAAAGAAATCAACACGCAAAATAGTAAACGCATCTGTTAAATGATAACAACTTTGGCACAAGGTGACACAGCCATAAAAATATATAGGCTTGTTTAAAGTATTTGAAATTAAAACATAAGCACAGGATATGGAAAAACAGAAACAGCGTATAAAAATATCACAGCAGCGTTCTAGGAAACTCCAAAACATGCTTATGAGAGCCCCGCGTGTATCTTGTCCTTTAACTCAAGCCTGGTAGGGTCCCGGCCCTGTGGCCCCTGGGCTTTGCCTCCCACAGAAACACAGAGCTGGGAAGCAATGCTCCCTCTAAGCTGTAGAGTCTCGTGAGCAAAAATTCTCCTTTGTGAGCTCCTGGCATTAAAGTTGCAAGCGAGCGATTTGGCTGCTGCATATATTACTTTGCTCTGGAGCTCTCCTCCCTGAGCTAAGACAAAAACATGTGAGCTGGAGGCTTAAAAAACTGTGCGCTAGGTCACACTCACTCAGCTAAGAGGGAACAGTGCTGGGAATGCACCCCAAGGGTCATCTAGTCCAGCCCCCTGCATAACGCAAGAAATTCACAAGTACATCCCCCTCCCTCCCCCAGGGACCTCTGCTCTGTGCACAGAGGAAGGTGGATTTTCCTCCAGGATCTCCAGGCCAATTTGGCCTGGAGGAAATTTTTTATTGCAACCGCAATAAGGAAGGCCAACGCTATGCTGGGGATTATGAGGAAGGGAATTGAAAACAAATCAGCCAGTATCATAATGCCCCTGTATAAATCGATGGTACAACCTTATTTGGAGTACTGTCTACAGTTCTGGTCACCACATCTCAAAAAGGATATTATAGCTTTGGGAAAAGTGCAGAAAGGGCAACTAGAATGAAAGAATCTGGAATATCTGCCAGAAGAGAAGAAGAAGAGATTGGATTTATACCCGGCCCTTCACTTGGAGTCTCAGAGCGGCTCACAAACTCCTTTCCCTTCCCCTCCCCACAAGAGACACCCTGTGAGGTGGGTGGGGCTGAGAGAACTTTGACACAAACTGCTCTTTTTCAAGGACAGCTGTGCCAGAGCTTGTGACTGACCCAAGGTCACACCAGCAGGTGCAAGTGGAGGAGTGGGGAATCAAACCCGGTTCTCCCAGATTAGAGTCCGAGCACTTAATCACTACACCAAACTGGGGAAGGGTGGCTGGCCCTTGGGAAAGGTGGCTGGCCGTTGGGAAGGGTGGCTGGCCATTGTACGGAAAGCCTGCTGGCTGGGCCTCCCAGCCTTACCAGCCACGAGTCTTCGGATGCAGGACAGGGCCACGTCGTGATCGCTGTGCAGGAACAGGGGGCAGGAGCAGTCCTGGAGCAGAAGAGAAACCACCGTTAGCCAGTTTATGATTTTCATTATTTACACTCTTGGTATCTGCAATGAGTTGTCTCTTCCCTGAGTCTGCCCTGAGGTCGCCTAGATTTGGGGGGGTGGGGTGGATCTTTGGGACGGTGGGATTTGGGGAGGGGAGGGGCTTCAATGGAGTCTAATGCCACAGAGCCCGCCCTCCAAAGCGGCCATTTTTCTCCTGCGGAACTGATGTCCATCGCCTGGAGATCAGTTGTAATAGTGCAAGATCTCCAGCCCCTACCTGGAGGTTGTATCAATGTAAAAACAGTCCACCAGTCCTTTGTACGGAAAGCTTCAGGAGAACAAAAATTTCTCATCTGCAGGAGTAGCAGCTATGCACGGCTGGCTTCAATGCCGCGTTTGCTTTCTGCTTTGGCTGTGAAACTGAAAGTATACTTCTATGTTCTCCTGAAGCTTTTCATACAAAGGACTGGTGGGCTTCATTCAGAGTTTTCCCTTTGTATCAAGTACTTTGTATCAAGTACTTTTCGTAGAAAAAGAGCTAGGGGAACTCATTAGCATAACTCATTAGAGCAACTTACCCTCCCTCTTCTCCTGCCTCCTCCTGGCTGAATGAGGGCCGGAAGCGGGGTGGCCGGAAGCAGGGGGCGGGGCTTCATCATGTGCCCCGCCCCCTGCACCTCACCCGGGGGAACTGCGATCCCCCACGATCCCCCCCGAAATGACCACTGATCCTAGCTCAAGAAGAAGAAGGAGGAGGAGAAGAAGAGATTGAATTTATCCCCCGCTCTTCACTACCCAAAGGTGTCTCAGAGCGGCTTTCAAACTCCTTTCCCTTCCCCTCCCCACAACAGACACCCTGTAAGGTAGGTGGGGCTGAGAGAGCTCTTGACAGAAACTGCTCTTTTTTCAAGGACAGCTCTTGTCAGAACTATGGCTTGCCCAAGGTCAGCCAGCCAGGTGCGAGTGGAGGAGTGGGGAATCAAACCTGGTTCTCCCAGATTAGAGTCCGCGCACTTCACCACGACACCAAACTTTATATAAGAGTATATAAAGGTGTTTGTTAAACTTGATAAGAATTTGAACTGTTTGAGCTGATTTGTACAATATAATCTCTCTGCCTGTATTTGTAATTTATCCACGGCGTGTTTTTATACTGATTCAATCTCCTCTCATGAGCTCTCTTTTTGGTATACCTGGAGGTTGGCAGCCCTAGTTTGTAATTCCGGGAGACCTACAGCCTCCTCCCCCCCTCCCGAGGGTGGCAACCCTCTTTGGAAAGCAAACAGATCCCGGGGCCCAGTCCTCACATTGCAGCGCAGGGTTCCTTGAGGGGGGGGGGGACCAGAGAGCCATTGTTCCTTTCCCCTGCCCACCCTGCGGGGGCACTACGCTCCTCCTCCACCCCCCTTCCGTGACCTTTGCATCACACTTCGCGTCACAGCTTGACCGAACCGGGGGGGGGGGGCGCTACCCGTGGCCCAGGAAGGCTGGCAAACCTACCGCCGTGTTGGCGGAGCCGTCTGGTAGGAAAGCCACTCGGAGATTGGTGCAGTAGAGGGTGCCGGGGACGTATCCTCCGCCGTCTCGGGAAGGGACGCTCTTGCTCACGTGGGTGGCCTCTTCTCGGATGTGTTCGCCTGCCAAACAATGCCGGGGAGTAGAATCGGTCTCTGGGTCCACACAGACAAAGATCCACTGAACAAGGAATGGCTTAAAACAATTTCCATGCAGAGGGACTGAAGCGTCTTGAGGGGCCGTCCCTAAGTCCTGCTCCGCAAGAAACTAAGGTCAGGCGACCTTAGGCCGAGTCCCCACCCCCCCACCCCGCTTCTGGGGGCTCTTTTTGTAGCAGGAACTCCTGTGCATCTTAGGCGACACACCCCTAAGGTAGCCAATCCTCCAAGAGTTTACAGAGCTCTTCTTACATTAGGGGTGTGTCGCCTAATATGCACAGGAGTTTCTGCTACAAAAAGAGCACTAAACAGGGCTCTTTTTGTAGAAAAAGCCCAGCAGGAACTCACTAGCATAATAGGCCACACCCAACAGCAGGAACTCATTAGCCTATTAGGCCACACCCCTGACAGCACAGCACATTAACCTTGTTACCAGAAGTGTGTTCATCCAGCCCCACCCACCTTTTGCTTCTTATTCTGTTTACCTTGTTTGTTGTCCAAACGGTCCAGGGCTTTTTTTGTAGCAGGAACCCTTTGCATGTTAGGCCACCCCCCCCTAATGTAGCCAATCCTAATGTTGGGTGTGGCCTATTATGCTAATGAGTTCCTGCTGGGCGTGGCCAACTTGGGAGCCAGCCGGAACTCCGTTCCTGTGCGTTCCTGCCCCAAAATAGCCCTGAATAAGGAAATGTCTCTCAGTTATACCGAAGTGCTTGGACAGAGCACTGGGCATCAGACCGCCCATCGGCTTGTGGCAGGGCGGCCCGTAAATTACGCTCTGTCCCAGTCTTTGGTATTGCACCTGCTCGTCCCATTCCATCTTGTTTCCATCAACTGACTGTCCCAGAGATCGGAGGGGCTTTTCTTTAAGCGAAGTGCTTCCCCCTCAGCCATTTGGGTGGGGTAGATTCTAGGGCTGCCAGCTCTGGGGTGAAAAATACCTGGAGACTTTGGGGGTGGAGCCTGAGGAGGACGGGGTTTGAGGAGAGAGGGGCTTCAATGAGGCACAATGCCATAGACTAGACTCTAGAACAGGGGTGTCAAACATGTGGCCCGGGGGCCGGATCAGGGCCCCCCCCCCCCCCAAGGGGCCCTTTTGGGGCCCGCGGGGAACTCCCCCGAAGGGCTCCTATTGGGCCCGCAGTGGAACTGGCTGTCTTCTGCTGCTGCTTCCAGTTCAGCTGCTGCTGCGTCATCGTAGGTTTGCCGCTTACAGATACACCCCTGAACGGCATCCTCAGGATTGCAACGGCACAGACTTTTTTTTTGTTGAGACGAAGGAATTCTTTGTTAGTTGATACGGATTAAACTACATACAACATATTGCAATTGGTGTAAATCCGTAAGACATCCTGCTAAACTGAATTTCCCTCTGTAGTGATGTATATATAATATTAAATCTTTTTGATATTATAGGATTTTATGTCCTGTGAACAGCTGCGATGTGTTTGTTTTCGTGGGAGCAGGTTCTGTGCTATCAAGTATTCTAAAACTGGATTGGTGTAGCGGGGTTGTGCGATCTATGAATGGAGTCAGTTATTTTAGGACCTGCTGTTTCACCAGCAGCTGTGACTGGCATCCTCAGAGGTATAACACAGAAAGGTGGAGGACTGTCTGTGTCAAGGTGAGAAGCTTAAGCACAGCGGGCCCTGGTTAGTGCTTGGATGGGGACCGCCAAGGAAGTCTGGGGTCCCTACACAGAGGCGGGCAATGGCAGACCACCTCTTTTGTCCTGACCTGGACAGCCTGGGCTAGCTTGATTAGAATGCAGAATTCACTGCCGGAGGATGTACCGATGGCCACAATAACAAACGCTGTAACGCCCTCTGCGTTGGCCTACCCTTGAGACTGACCCGAAAATTACAGTCCTTACAGGGACCCCTTCGCCAGCTGCCCTGTCTCCAGGTTGAATACCAGATGAGGTTCAAGGCTCTGGTATTCACCTTCAGGGCCTTAAGCTGTCTGGGACCAACCTATCTTCGGGACTGCATCTCCTGGTATACCCCCACCACCCCCAACCACCAAGAGCATTACGCTCAGGAGAGAAAAACCTCCGGGTGATCCCTGGCCCGAAAGACACCCTGCCGTCCTTTTTGGTCTGGACACCAGCCTGGTGGTGGAACTCTCTGACGAGCGACATCCGTGCCCTGGGCCACTTGGACCACTTCTGCAGCGCCTGTGAGACAGAGACGTTCCACCAGGCCGATGGTTGGGGACAGCAACGGCTAGATCGCCGCTAACAAAGATCTGGAGAGTGATTTCAGCAAAAGTGAACACCTTCATTGAAGGTACGAACAAACTCTTGAACGAAGTCATAACCAGAACGACTTAACATTGCAGCTGCTGGTGTGACCTTGGGTCAGTCACAAGTTCTCTCAGAGCTGTTCTCTCTGGAGCAGTCCTCGGAAGAAGAAGAAGGAGGAGGAGGAGGAGGAGGAGGAGGAGGAAGAAGAAGAAGAAGAAGAGATTGGATTTATACCCTGCCTTTCACTGCCCAAAGGTGTTTCAGAGCGGCTCACAAACTCCTTTCCCTTCCCCTCCCCACAACAGACACCCCCTGTGAGGTCGGTGGGGCTGAGAAAGCTCTTGACAGAAACTGCTCTTTTTCAAGGACAGCTCTTGTCAGAACTACGGCTTGCCCAAGGTCACCCAGCCAGGTGCAAGTGGAGGAGTGGGGGAATCAAACCCGGTTCTCCCAGATTAGAGTCCGTGCACTCAACCACGACACCAAACTGGCTCTCTCAGCCCCACCTACCTCACAGGGTGTCTACCTATTGTGGAGAGGGGAAGGGAAAGGAGGCGGTAAGCTGCTCTGAGACTCCTTCCGACAGTGAAGGGTGGGCTATAAATCCAATCACTTATCTTCTTCCTCGGCCTCTGTGCCCTGTTGTTGGCCCTCCAGAGGAACTGGCTGGCCACTGGGTGAGGCAAAATGCTATTGGTCTGGTCCAGCGGGGCTCTTTTTATGTTCTTAGATCTCAGAAGCTAAGCAGGGTCGGCCCTGGTAAGTCCTTGGACGGGAGACCACCGGGGAAGTCCAGGGTCGGCCCTGGCAGAGGCAGGCAGTGGCAAGCCACCTCTGAACGTCTCTTGCGGTTAGATTTATGGATTCCAGTAAGCCTGATCGAAGCAACAGAACTGCGTTCTGTTGAGAAATCTTTCTGTTCACGATAGAGAACTCTTTCTATTCATTGGGAAAATGCTGCCCTTGTTTTATTGGTTTCGGGCCCTTCAGGCTTCGGGGTTTGCTCTGTGTGTGACCCGGGCAAAGCTTGTTCTGTTTCGAGTAACTCTGGGCACAGATCCCAGGAATGTCGTTGGCACCGAAGAAGGTCAGAGCAGCCAAGAACAGTTCAGGTAAACACAACAGGGCTTGGGAGAAAGAGAGAAAGTGGGGCTGAAGCATGAAGTATTTGGTTATGATTTCTAAGCGTCAAACCGGTTAATGATTAAAGTACTCTGAAGTAAGCCAACTCCACTTGGGGAGTTAGAGAACGAAGAAGAAGAAGAAGATGAAGAAGAAGAAGAAGAAGAAGAAGGAGGAGGAGGAGGAGGAGGAG